ACCCGTCTTGGTCTTTAATTTCCTCTTACTATTTTCCTTATTCTTTACAACCTGAGGACCATTTTTCTTTGATTAAAAAAATGCAAGCAATATAGGCATTAGGTATTTGTCTTTTCTTTTGGTTGTCTGATCACATCATATCATATGATTCCAAGCAATATAAACAAAATATAAACGAAAAATAAAACTCTAAGCCCCCCAACCATCCAAATGAACTCCTCCTCTCAGCTAAGGGGATTCCAAAGCTAACCTGAATAACTGGTTCCAGCCATGATAGGAAAGGGGAGTCTGGCAAGCCTCATTATACCCTCCTGTCTTTTAGAATTCAGGCCTAGCTGACATCAACACAGAACTTAAGACTGATAGAACAGACTCTTTTAAATCTGATAAGAAACATTTCCAGGCTGGGTTCTGTGGCCCCTGCCTGTTGTTCCAGCCTGGCACACTGGCTATTTCTCAGTATGCATTCTCCCCTTCTTCCTTGAGACACTCAAATGCTACCTGCGCTGCTCAGAATAAACTCTCTGTTTCCTGATCTCCTTTGCACCTGGAAGTGATCATGTAAGTATCTTTTGGTCAGTGGAATATGAGCAGAGTGATGTGTACAACTTGCAGATTTTGTCCTTGAACTTCCCACTACTCCTTTTCCCTGGTTTTACCAGTCAGAATGCAATCAGCAGGTAGGGTGGCAAGCCATCTTCAGCCATGCAGACTAGGGCATCATTCTAGATATGGCCCCCAATAAAACATCAGGAGCCTGGGTAACAGATATTGTAGAGATACCGCATCAGCTCTGGAATCTATATGCTCAGGTTGTTGCATGAGAAATGCATTTGTATTTCATTTAAGTCACTAATACTTTTGGGGTTTCTTTGTTACAGCAATGCCACCTGTATTTTATTAATAAAAATACCATCAATTCAACAAGGATTTATGCCAGCTACAATGCTTATACCCTGCTCAGAGCCATCTGATGATAATAATCCTAACTGCAAAATTACGTAGTTGTTTTTTAAAATTATTTTATTTGTTTTTTAAGGGATGAGGGTCTCACATTGTTGCCCAGGCTGGAGTGCAGTGGTGCAATCATAATTCACTGCAGCCTCAAACTCCTGGGCTCAAGTAGTTCTTCCACTTCAGATTCCTAGGTAGCTAGGACCACAGGCACCACCATGCCTCGCTAATTTCTGAAATTTTTTTTGTAGAGACAGGGTCTTGCTGTGTTGCCTAGGTTGGCCTCAAACTTCTGACCTCAAGCTATGCTCCTGCCTTGGCCTCCCAAAGTTCTGGGATTACAGGGGTGAGCCACTACACCTGGCCTATGTAGTTGTTTATGACGTAGGGTACTGAGAACTGCAGACCTCTCAATACAACTCCGTTCCAAATCCCTGCACTAACAGAACTGACCAAACTCGAGGATGGCTTCTAGCAGTATAAGGCTATGTCAGCCTTCTCCCCCAAACCCCCCATTAAAATGCCTGCCTAAAAAAGCTCAAAGCTGCCAGAAAAATTTACTATTTGTTGTCGCTAGTACCTGAGGATAGGCCCCTGACCTCCCTTTCTTAGAGCATTTACTAAAAAGGGCATAGAATTGTAAATATGTATTACTTGCAACTCAGAAGTCCTTCTCAAGGACTGAGAGAGCCATTCCTTTGAAATGTAACTATCAGGAAGAACAGGGCCTCTGACTCCCAGTCTCTGTGGGAGGATAGAATCCTAACTTCGATAACTACCAGCCAGCAGACACAGCTAGCCTAATTGTATTTCTACTGACCAACCCTTTGTAATTTTTACTTCCCTGGCTCTACTGAGCAACCCCGTCCCAGTCTCCTTCCTCCCTCCTTCCTCATTCTCCTTTTGAAATGCCCAAATCACCTGTGCACAATTGGAATCGAGCTCAGCTGTTTCCCCTACTGTCAATAGCTGCTGAATAAAATCTGTTTTCAACACTTTGACTAATGTTCAACGGCTGTATTTCTGACAGTACCTATGTTGTGCCAGGCACTATGCTAAGTGTTTTGCAGAGATTAGTTTATTTAATTTTCACGGCAGCACCCATTAGATAAGCATTCTACTATCATTATCCTCATTTTAGAAAGAAAATGACACTCAAAAATCCTAGTGTTACTTATCCAAGGCCACTCAGGATAGTAAGTAGCCAAGATACGATTTGAGTGTGTTTCTGACTCCAGCACTATTTATACTATGCTACCGCTCAGGGCGAGACCCACACCCTGGAAGAGCTCATGGCAGAGATAGAGACAGAGTGAGTTGCTGAGCATGCTACTGCTTTTAAAGATATGAATAAAAAGTTGTGACAGAACAGGAAAAAAAAGCTGCAGGAAGATGGAAGCCAACAATAAACACTTTCTGGGAAAAGCTGCAAATAAGGCATGTGAAAGAGAGCATCAGACAGAGTGTACATACATCTTGTGCAAAGGCTTGGTGTATCAAAGGAACAGTAAGACACTCAGCGATAAGAATATAGTGGGGAGGCTGAGGCGGGCAGACAACTTGAGGGCAGGAATTTGAGACCAGCCTGGCCAACATGGTGAAACCCCACCTCTACAAGAAATACAAAAAATTAGCTGGGTTAGTGTGGGTGGAGGTTGTAGTGAGCTGAGATCACACCACTGCATGCCAGCCTGAGCAACAGAGATGCCATGTCAAAACAAAACAAAAAAAAAAGTATAGGGTATGTGGGAAATAATGAAATCAGATTTTTTAAATCAAAAAGCATGGTTGCTAACATTTATTATTATATGCCAGCAACTGTTCTAAGGGCTTTATATACATAAACTCAACGAATCATCATAATGACTCTATGAGTTAGTAGCATTATCATTAACTTCATTTTACAGATGAGGAAACGTAGACACAGAGGAGTGAAGTAACTTTGTCCAAAGTCACCCAACTGGCAAATTGTAGAACCTGCCCAGCCTGGTTTCAAAGTCCTATAGTAAGAAATCTGTGCCCAATCAAGGTAAGAAACCACACAGTAGGTCAAGTAAGGTAAGTTAAATGTAAAGAACTATTAACCATGTTAGCTGGGCACAGTGGCATGTGCCTGCAGTTCCAGGTACTCAGGAGGCTGAGGTGGGAGGATCACTCGAGCCCCGGAGTTGAGGCTGCAGTTAGCTATGATTGTGCCACAGCACTCCAGCCTGGGTGACAGAGGAGACTGTGTCCCCCCACCCCCAAATATTATTAACAATGATAGAGGCATAACTATAACATATAAGGAAACTCTATACAGTACCTTACTGCATAAAGGGTAGGGTTAGAAAGGACCCTGGTTTCTGCGTCAAGAGGTTGAAGAAAGGCTATTGCCAGCCTAAAGCTGCAAGGTTAGGGAGGGACCACGTTCTGAGTTCGGGGCTGGGGCAGACTCAAGGATGTTCTCACCACCACACCCGTTCTGCTGACTTTAAATGGAGCAGTTAGGCCATTTGCAGCCAATGTTAGTATTGAGTTGTGAGGTGCCATTCCATTAATCATGCTATTTGTTGCCTGTGTAGCTTGTTTTTTGTTTTTTGTTTTTGCTTTTTAAATTGTATTTTTGTTTTATAGGTCCTTTGTGATTTATGCTTTAAAGGGGTTCTCTTTAGATGTGTTTCCAGGACTTTTTTTTTTCAAGATTTAGAGCTCCTTTTAGCAGTTCTTGTAGTGGTGGCTTGGTAGTAGCAAATTATCTCAACATTTGTCCGAAAAAGACTGTATCTTTCCATCATATGTGATGCTTAGTTTTGCTGGATACAAAATTCTTGGCTAATTGTTTTGTTTGAAGAGGCTAAAGATAGGGCCCCAATCCCTTCTAGCTTGCAGGGTTTCCCACTCTCTTTAAAGGAGAAATGTTTACCGGAGTTGTTATTTAGCATAGAGGCTATGTGGAAGTTTGTATTAGGAGCTGAGAGGCAATAAAATTGGTAACTGACAGGAACTATGCTCAAAGTCTTTAGGATTTATCAGCTTTGAGACTCGTGAGATTGGAGAATCCGACTGTGGACAGCTGAAATCAATGTAAACACCTCAGGTTTTACAATGAGAAGTGTACCCCCATTAGCTATCTATGCTCATTGCAAATATGAACAATTCAGAAGACTAAAGTGTAAAGTGAAAGTCCTTGAAACTAAAAGTCCCTGATATTAATACCATTCATTCACCAGAGATAAACACTGTTTTAACAATATGTCTTTTCTTCCAGACTGCCAGTAATTGAATAAATATGTGATTAACACAAAAAGGATACCACATGAACTCTTTAAACTTCTTTTAAAATTTACTATATCAGGGAATTAATATATCTTTTCGAGCCAATAGATACAGGTCTTCCAATTAAAACAATTATATTACAATAGGATGAGATTTGGGGTGCTATCCCTTTCGGAAAGCATCCTCGATGAGGTCATACTTGGAATTAACCTCCACTCCCCACGTCTTCTGTGGGCTCCCGCGGACTCCAGGCTAAGTGCTGAATTGCGGATTTTCACACCCAAACCTGTGTTATTTCAGGGTCTCACCTGGCTCCTCCACTGCGCAGAAGCTCACCCCAGGTTGGAAGAGCCCCTCCGGGGAGACTCAGCGAAGCGCCATTCAGGGCCCAACTCAAGCCCAAGCCTAGCTCCTCCCCAGGCCGCCGCCGGAGACCCCACTTCTCCCAAACCTCACCGGGGCCCCGCCTCTGACTCCGCCCACCAGACAGCGCGCCCGAGCCCCGCCCCACCCCAGGCTCCACCTACCATCCGGGCTCCGCCTACCCGGAACCACGCTGTCGTCCCTGTCCGGGGCTCCGTCCACTGGAGCTCGCGCCACTCACCCCACCCCCGACCCGCCCACTTCGCTTGGGCTCCACCCTCCCAGGAACCTGCACGGCTCGCCCCGAGCTCCGCCCACTTCGTCTCGGGATTCCCGCGCCGGGACCTCTGGCTGCTAGCCCCGCCCAGGCCACGCCCCGCCGCGCTCTTGGCCCCGCCACCCAGAAACTGCCCCGGCAGCTGCGCGCTCCGCCCATCCCGCCCTGGGAACGCGTGCGGACAGCTACACGCCAGCCCCTTCCTTTGCTACGTCAGGTCCAGTCGGTCTTCCTGCGGCCGGGGCCCTGGCTGAGCTAGCCGGCCATGGAGGGTTGTGGCCCCGCTGCCGCCCACTACCAGCCGGCCAGCCCCCCACGGGACGCCTGTGTCTACAGCAGCTGCTACTGGTGAGGAGGCGCGGGCGCAGTCTCCGGGTCTCCCCGGCTCCTGGGCCGCGATGCGCAACCGTGGCTCTCCTCTTCCCCGCCCCTTCTTGGGGGCGCTGCCGGCGTCGACCGGCGGGTTCTACCGTTTCTGCGGGAGGAGGGAGCGGGAATGGCAGCTCTCGTTTTTTGAGTAGAGCGTGGGCTATTGGATGGGGTTGGGAATTCGTCCGGAGTCATAGGGTCGGTAGTGCATTTCCTGTACTTGGTGCTGGTCGGTTGGATTTGCTCTGCACATCTCTGCTTGGGGACGAGGGAGAGTGGAGCTCTGAAAACCTTTAGAAGTTACTCTGCTGAAGCTTGTGGGGTTTCGGACTGAGGTGAAGGCTATTTTAATTTTGGAAGAGAATGGAGGCACAGAGAGTTTGGTGTAACTTGGCAAGGTCACCCAGCTAATAGCCAGGAATCCAGTTCAGGCTGTCTGACGCCAGAAACCATGATCTTAACCATGTCGTCATTATAATAACGGTACCATTTACACAGCACTTACCTTAGGCCACGCATTGTTCTGGGTAGTTTGGGTCACAGAAATCACTGAACATCACGGTCACTCTAAGAGGCAGGTATTGTTATCCTCATTTTAAAGATGCATTTTAAAGGTGCACTGAAGCACAGTGCAAGTAACTTGCTCAGGGCCACGTAGCTTGTGAATGAAGGCGTGGGAATTTACGGGCAGAGTCTGGCCCTGGAGTCCACGCATTGCATCACTGTCTTAGGCCACCTCCGCCTTGGTCCTTTTTCATTCGCATATCTGCTCTTTCCTGAGTAATGGCTTCTTCCCCAGCTTCCAGTCCTTGCACAGGAAACCTCAGTACTCTCTAAAATTACTCCTCCCTCTTCTGCTGCTCACTAAACCAATGCCACCAAGAGCTTAACATTTGTTTGGGTCTGATTGCATGTCAGGCTTAGTGCCAGGTGCTTCCATCGATGTCCTGGAGGTAACTTCTTTTATTATCGTTATCTTCATTTTACTAGTAAAAAGCCTGAGTCACAGAGAGGCTGTTGTGTGCCCCCAAATCACACATCTAGCAAGTGGTGGTGCTGAAACTGGAACCTCTTTGTGATTCTGAAGTTCATGCGTCTTAACTACTGCACTGTTTTTCTGTCCTTCCTCTCTTCTAAATCCTGTTAGTTCTCCTCCCTAATGTCCATTCATTGTTTTATTCATTCTTTAAATAAATGTTTATTAGGCACTTGGCATATGTGGCACACTTCTGGACACTGGGAATATAGCAGTGAACGAAATCGACAAATTCCCTCATGAATTTCTTGTTTCTTATATTTTGATGAGAGAAAAGCAGACAAGGCCGGGTGTGGTGGCTTACGCTTGTAATCCCAGCACTTTGGAAGGCGGAGGTGGGTGGATCACTCGAGGCCAGGAGTTTGAGACCAGCCTGGCCGACAAGCACAAACCTGCCTCTACTAAAAATACAAAAATTAGCTGGGCAGGGTGGTGGGTGCCTGTAATCCCAGCTACTTGGGAGGCTGAGGCAGGAGAATTGCCTGAACCCAGGAGGTGGAGGTTCCAGTGAGCCAGTGCCACTGCCTTCCATCCAGGGCAGCAGAGCGAGACTCCATCTCAAAACTAAACAAAAAACGACAAAAACAAGTAAGCCGTTCTTGGGTGGTGTTAAGTGCTGTGAGAAAAATAAGATAAAGGATGGTGACTTATTTTCTATTAGGATATTTTGAGAACATTGCTGATCAGGTGATAACTTGAACAGAGATCTGAAGAAACAGGGTGGGAGCTTTGCAACTTTTGAAGGATGGTTATTTAAGCAGGAAGTATAGCAGGTACAAAGGCTCTGAGAAGAAATCATGCTGTGAGTATGACAGGAACAGCGAGGAGGCTGGTGCAATTGGAGTATTGAAGTAAAGCAGAATTGTAGAAGATTGGTAAGAGATGACCACTCTACCACAGGGCTTTTCAGCCGTGGCTCTAGTGACATTTTGAGCATGAAAATTCTTTGCTTTGGGGGCTGTCCTGTGTATTGCAGGATGTGTAGCAACATCCCTGGCCTCTACCCACTAGATGCTGTTACCACCCCAGTCCTAGATGTGACAACTGAAGATGTCTCCAGACATTGCTAAGTGTCCTGTAGGGGCTGGGGGGCAAAATCACCTCTTGCTGAGAACCAGTGCTCTAACCTGTCTGAACACATCAGGTAGGACACCACACTACTTTGACTCCTGCAACTTTGTGTGTGTGTGTGTGTGTGTGTGTGTTTTAAGACAGTCTCAGTTTATCGCCCATGCTGGAGTGCAGTGGCGTGACCTCGGCTCACTGCAACCTCTGCCTCCCCAGCTCAAGCCATTTTTATGCCTCAGCTTCCCCAGTAGCTAGAGCTACAGGCACTCACCACCACGCCCAGCTAATTTTTGTATTTTTAGCAGAGATGGGGTTCCACCACATTGGCCGGGCTGGTCTTGAACTCCCAACTTCAGGTGATCCACCCATCCAAAGTGCTGTGTTTACAGGTGTGAGCCCCAGTGCCCGGCCATCCTGCAGGTTTTTTAACTTGAAATGAATGCCTCCTGTTTACTTCTGGGTCGATAGTGCCTTTCCTGTGCTTGGTGCCTGTTGGTTGGATTTGCTCTTCAAATCTCTGCTTGGGAGTGAGGAAGAGTGGAGCTCTGAAAACTTTTAGAAGTTACTCTGCTGAAGCTTGTGGGGTTTCAGACTGAGGTGAAGGTTATTTTAATTTTGGAAGAGAATGGAGACACAGAGAGTTTGGTGTAACTTGCCAAGGTCACCCAGCAAATAGCAGCCAGAAATCCAGTTCAGGCTCTCTGACGTCAGAAACCATGATCTTAACCATGTCGTCATTAGAGTAATGGTTACATTTACACAGCACTTGCAATAGGCCACGCGTTGTTCTGGGTAGTTTGGGTAACATAAATCACTGAGCATCTCAGATGTTACTTACGCTTCAAGACCCTGCTTAATGATGATAGTGGCAGCTGGTATTTGTGTATGACTGTGGTTGGCAGAGCAATTCGGATTCTGACTTAATTGTTTTGTGTTTTTCAAACAATTGTGGAGTGCCTGCTTTTGTGCCAGGGGTCCTCCCCGTCTGCATGCATCTCTGACCTCAGCCCATCATGGGGAACCCCTGCAGAGTCCCAGTCTTTCTGCTTCCAAGATGATCAGTGGACAGCTTGGGGCAAATCTGCAGCTCGCTTTCTTTCTTTCTCTCTCTTTCTCTCTCTCTCTCTCTTTCTTTCAAGTCGCTTATGCTTTTGTTTAGAGTCTAAAGAACATTTCCAATATTATCCAATCACATATTTCATTTGAGTTTTGATGTAATGAAAATCTGTTTTTCCCTTTCAACTTTTAGTTTAGATTTGGGGTTACATGGGCAGATTTGTTACATGGGTAAAGTGTATGTCTTGGTGGTTTGGTGTAGAAATTATTTTGTCACCCAGGTAGTGAGCACACTACTAGATCACTTCTTGACCCTTATCCTCCTGTCACCCTCCACCCTCAAGTAGGTCCCGAGTCTACTGTTTCCTTCTTTGTGTCTATGTGTACTCAATGTTTAGCTCACACTTATAGGCAAGAACATTCAGTGTTTGGTTTTGGGTTCTTGTGTTAATTCACTTGGGATCTTGGCCTCCAGCTCCATCCATGTTGCTGCAAATGACATGATTTTACTCTTTGGCATTGCTGTGTAGTATTCCATGGTGATGATCTATACCACATTTTCTGTATGCAGCTCACCATTGATAGGCACCTAGGCTGATTCTGTATCTTTGCTATAGAGAATAGTACTGTGATGAACATATGTGTGCATGTGTCTTTATGGTAGAAGGATTTATATTCCTTTGGATATATACCCAGTAATGGGATTGCTAGGTCGCATGGTAGTTCTGTTTCAAGTTCTTCGAAAAATCTCCAAACTGCTTTCCACAGTGGCGGAACTAATTTCCATTCCCACCAGTATTTAAGCATTCCCTTTTCTCTACCACCTTGCCCGCGTCTGCTATTTTTTGACTTTTTTTTTTTTTTGAGGCAGTGTCTCACTCTGTCACCTAGGCTTGCAGTGCAGTGGCATGATCATAGCTCACTGCAGCCTCAACTTCCTGGGCTTACTCGTAGCTCACTGCAACTTCAACTTCCTTGGCTTCAGTGATCCTCTCACCTAAGCCTCCTGAGTAGCTGGGAGGACAGGTGTGCACCACCACTTTTTTGACTTCTTAAATTATTTTTATTTTTTTGTTCATTTTTATCAATTTTTTTTTTTTTTTTTGAGACAGAATCTCACTTTGTTGCCCAGGCTGGAGGGCAGTGGTGCGATCATGGCTCACTGCAGCCTGGTCTCAATCAATCCTCCCACCTCAGTCTCCTGAGTAACTGGGGCTATAAGTATGTACCACCATGCGCAGCTAATTTTTATATTTTTTTCATTTTTATATTTTTTTTGTAGAGATGGGGTTGTACCATGTTGCCCAGGCTGGTCTTGAACTCTTGGGCTTAAGCAATCTTCCTGCCTTGGCCTCCTGAACTGTTGGGAATACGGGTGTGAGCTACTGTGCCTGGCCTGACTTTATTAAATTGCCATTCTGACTGGAGTGAGATAGTATCTCACTGTGGTTTTCATTTGCATTTCTCTAATAATGACTAGTGATGTTGAGCATTTCTTCATATGCTCCTTGTTGACTGTGTACGTCTGTTTTTACTTTTTTTTTTTTTTAGACTGAGTCTCACTCCGTTGCCCTTGCCCACGCTGGAGTGCAGTGGCTCAATTTCGGCTCACTGCAATCTCTGCCTCCCAGATTCAATTGATTCTCCCAGCTGAGCCTCTGGAGTACCTGGGATTATAGGCATGTGCCGTCACGCCCAGCTAAGTTTTGTATTTTGAGTAGAGACGATGTTTCATCATGTTGGCCAGGCTGGTCTTGAACTCCTTATCTCAAGTGATCCGTGTGCCTTAGCCTCCCAAAGTGCGATTATAGGCATGAGC